TTCGGAGGGATTCAAACCACTACAGAAGTTTTAAAGGGGGGGGGGAGAAAAAAATTAAACTGAAGTCCACAACAGGCTCAGGAATTTGTTCCACTTATTAATTGAAAACAAAAGCAAGTCACTTGTGTTCCACTGTCCCCGGATTGTCCTCCTTGCATTGTTCCAGATCTCTTTCATTCCGCCCCCGGAGATTTCCCTCCTCTGTATTTTCAGCTGAATTTATTTAGGTTCCTTCTGAGTCTCATCCCGGAGGCAGCTCTTGTTGGGAATCAAGTTGCAGGGTCAGCCCTGTGGCTTGGCCTTCTGCAGGCCTGCCTGAGGCCCTGTGCTTAACCAGGTCATGGAATGGTTTGGTTTGGAAGGGACCTTAAAGCCCATCCAGTGCCACCTTCCACTAGCCCAGGTTGCTCCAACCTGGCCTTGGACACTTCCAGGGATCCAGGGGCAGCCACAGCTTCTCTGTGCAACCTTTACCAGGGCCTCCCCACCCTCCCAGCCAGGAATTCCTTCCCAATATCCCATCTAACCCTGCCCTCTTTCAGCTTAAATCCAGTCCCCCTTGTTGAGCACAAGATGTAGGCAGGACCTGCAAAGCAAATTCCCAAACATTTTCTAGCATTAATTTCTGCCTCTGCAATAACTCAAAGCTCCTCTGGCAGTTTTCCTGCATGGAAGTGGTGTCTGGGTAGGACCTGCCAGCCTGGAAACAGTCCCAAGAAGTGTCTAAAGCAGGGCTGGAGAGTGTAGGTTGTGTTGGTGCTTGGTGACAACACCTAAGATGTTGCCCAGAGAAGCTGTGGCTGCCCTTGGATCCCTGGAAGTGTCCAAGGCCAGGTTGGACAGGGCTTGGAGCAACCTGGGCTAGTGGAAGGTGTCCCTGCCCATGCAGGGGGTGGAACAAGGTGGTATTTCAGGTTCTTCCCAACCCAAACCATTCTGGGATTGTGTCCTCCTGCCTCTGACCATGTTTTAAGGAGGTTGTTGCCCCTTTCATTTTTCCCTTGGCTGTATCCCACCAAACCTCTGCTCTTTGCCCATTTTTGCTCTTGTGGATGAAGAAGTGGCTGGGAAGGCAGTGGAGTATCCGTGTCCAGGTGGGGGTTGAGCCCAGGGAGCCCAGCGAGGCTCTGGGGTGCCGGGGGAGGGCGGAGGTGTGGAACATTCCCCACGGACACATTTGTGCTTCTGCCTGAGCCACCACTCCCTTTGTGCCACTTGGGAACTGGCAAAGGCACCTGTGGATCCACCTGAGGGGCACTGAGGGCACTTGGGTTGTTCAGCTGGAGAAGAGGAGGCTCAAGGGAGGCTTCATCAGGGTCTGCAGCTTCCTCTGAGGGGCAGCTCCATCTCTGCTCCGTGTGAGCAGGGACAGGACCCAGGGAAGGGCTGGAGCTGTGCCAGGGCAGGATTAGGGTGGATTTTAGGAGGTTCTTCCCCCAGAGGCTGGTTGGGCACTGCCCAGGCTCCCCAGGGCAGTGGGCACAGCCCCAAGGCTGCCAGAGCTCCAGGAGGGTTTGGCTGATCCTCTGGGGCACAGGGGGGGACTCTTGGGAATGGGCCTGTGCAGGGCCAGGAGCTGGACTGGATGATCCTTGTGGGTCCCTTCCAACTCAGGATATCCTGTGATTTTATGACCCGTGGCACAGCTGGATATTTGTCTGTGGCATCCCTATTTTTAGTGGTTTGGCTTCTTGGTGTGCACCAGCTTTGGTTGCCCCTATTTTGGGGGATAAACTTTGCAGTAACTCCAGGCTGCAGATGGCAAAGTCTTGATGCATTTGTGGCTTTCCTGGAAAGATTTTTCCAGTTGACCTTTTTTTTTTTAAAAAAAAAAAAAAAGAAAAGAAAAAAAAGAAAGAAGTGGATTTTTAATGAATGCAGAAATTGTGAAACTTAACAATACAATCCAAGAAATTTGAAAGTCATCTTCAGTGGTTTAGTGAGTGCACTTAAAAAATATAAACCAGACAGATCTGTCACTGAGCAGAGCCTTGAGTGGGGAGAATTACAGCCTGCCCTGAAAGGATCAGATAAGTGCATGTGGGACAGACCACTCTTTCTCAGCCTTTTTTAATCAAAAGCCTTTTTGTGGAGGAGCTTTTCGACCAGCAATTTTTTATGGCAAAATAAAAAAAAAAAAAAAGAAGGCAACCCGAAGGATCATTTTCTATAGTTTCTGTCCCAGTTCTGTGTTGTTACAACCAGGAGAAGGAACAGCCCAAAGCAGTTCTGAGTTGTGTTTTCTTTCCCCTCGCTGTATTTTTTTATTGTGCTGTCGTGATTATTAATGGTATAAACACGCAGGGAAGATGATTTTCCTTTTAGAGTGTTTTTTTGTGCGTCACCCTTAATGCCTTTTGAATTATCAGTTGTTTCAGGATTGTTCCCTGAAGATCCAGGCGGGCTGTGGGAACAGAGTGGATGTGCAGGAGAAATGGGATTGAGGGGGAGCAGCTGGAGGGACCTGGAGATGCAGAGGAAGGCAGTGGGTATCCCAAAGATTTGTCAGGAAAGAAGGAGGGAGAAGAATGCCCCAGATGTGTTGATTCTGGAAGGGAAATGATCTGTATTGAAGGTGCTCAGGGAGTGGGCCAGGTAAGAACCAGAGTTGGCCTTGAGGACACTGGGAATTGCTGGGTAGGTCACACTGGACACACCTCGAGGATTTGGGATCACGAGGATGAATTTTCCAGGCTGCTGTGGTCTCTTGGCAGCTGAAGGAACACCAGAGGAAGTTGGATCTCTGCCAGAACCAGGGGACTGAGGATGGTGACGGTGGAGTTCGGGGTTTGAGGGGTGTTTTGACACGACTGGGAGGGAGAGTTTTGTTCTTTGTGCCGGGAACCAGAGTTGGAACCGGTGTGGAAGGTGATGATGGTGGAGTTTGGGCCTTGGGAGGTGTTTTGACACGACTGGGAGGGAAACATTTGTTCTTTGTGCCACCAAACTGAGTCCTGACGTTGTTTGAGTGGAGAATCACCACTAATCTCTGAGTGTTCTTGATGTGATGATGTTCAATCCAGAGGCCACAACGTGACATCCCATAATGTCAGAGTGGACATCCTGGAACTTTGGAATGTGTTGCCCTTGGGTCTGGCTTGGCTGTTCCCTGCTCACTCGTGTTTTGGAGGGAGGGTGGAAATCAAGGATGTTGGTTCTTGGAGGGCGGATTGGGAGAATTCAGAAGGGAAAATACAAAATCTGCTTAAATCTGACCTTAAATCTGAGTTTAAAGCTGACCAGGTATCTGCTGGGGTTTGTTGCTGCCTGAACACAAACTACTTCTTTTTTTTTTTTTTAACTAAAGAAGAATAATAAAAAGATTTTAATCATCAACCTTAATGTCTTAGATTTGCCATTTCCAAAGAGGGTTTTGCCTGGAGTTTGTAAGTAATTTTGAGGTTTTCTTTTTCCCCCCATTGACAGGTGCATACACACATTTGAGTGCAAACCGATTAATTTGCACCCAAAATTACTATTTTTTTTTAAAATTATCTATACCTGAGTACAAAAACAACTCACCTGTTTTTATTTTCTCGTTATGTGGAATTATCAACCTTGAATTAAGAGCGAGTTTGTGTCTTTGGGTTTGGTGAGACCCTGCAGAGAGGCCTTTCAGCACTAGATGGCACTCGGGCTCCAAATTTCAGCTTTTCCCGGCCACAACTCCTTGAAACTTTAAGGAAAAACCACCAGCACCGCGTTAGTGGTGCCTTTCATGGAATTTGAGGAAGTTCCATCTCTTTCTTTCCACCTTTAGCACCAACCAGTGAGTGAGGAAGGCAACGTGGTCACCTTTGAAGGCTTCTGCTCCTGGGGTCTGGGTTATTTTACACTGAGTTTTAAACAGGGTTATTGGTATTTATTTGGCATTTTTTCTTTTGCATTTTCTTTACATTTATTTGGCATTTTTGTTTTGCATTTTACTGACATTTTTGGGGCTTTTTATTTTTTCTTCATTTTATTTGCATTTATTTGCCATTTTTGTTTTGACCCTTGGGAATCTTCAACTGAAACTGTCGAATTGAAATTGCCTGGGCAGGTTTTAAAGAATAATAATTAAGTAAATTATTGAGTAAAATTCTGCAGCTTTTAGTCCTGTCTTGGTATTTTTTTCTGTTTCTCTGTGGATTGGAGATGTGGGATTCTCCAGAGCTCCTTGTGAGCACAGATCACACCAAAGGGGATCTCATGACTTGCTGCAGGAGCGTGTCCAGTTGGGTTCATGGAATTCTGATTCTTTCTGAGGTGCTGTTTGGCATTGTGATTAATAATTCTTTAAAAATTTCATTCTTGTTACAACTCTGCCATTCCCACCCTTTTATCTCTAATTCCTTCCTGGAATCCAGTGTATAATTAATTTGGCCTTAATTGCTGACACAAGCTCAGATTCCATAAAACTCACCACGAAAATCCTTTTGGACTGGGAGAAAATTCAGGTTTGGGAGCCAACAGTGACTTCAATCCATAAAAAATACCTGTATTTACTGTAAAAAACCCAGGAAAACAACCCCCTGAAACCCCACATCCTTTCAGGGTGTGACCGGTTGGTCCCTCTGCTTTCTAGAGAAACATTTGATTTGAAGGAGAGAAATTTGGTTTGAGTTTCCACCTCTGCATTTGCCCTGAAGCTGAATGAGGGAAGGGTCAGGTGGGATATTGGGAAGGAATTCCTGGCTGGGAGGGTGGGGAGGCCCTGGCACAGATTGGGCAGAGAAGCTGTGGCTGCCCCTGGATCCCTGGAAGTGTCCAAGGTTTCAGATCCACCAGTGCTGGGTTGATTCTCATCCCTCAGGGAACATCAGGCTGGTGGAGAGAGAGAGGTCAGAAAAGAAACATTTTCAGGAGAAACATTTTCAAACCTTGAGTTCAATACTTGGTTTATTGAAAGAAAAAATCAGATCTGCTCCCTTTTAAAGTTCATATTTTGGGTAGTTCTCACGAGCTGTGACAGTGACAGACCTTGGGACCTTGACCAAGTGTTGGCATCTTCTCCCCAGGTCTGTCTACGATGGAGAAGAACACGGGCGGTTCATGGAGAAACTGGAAGCTCGGATCCGGAACCACGACCGGGAGATCGAGAAGATGTGCAACTTCCACTACCAGGGATTCGTGGATTCCATCACGGAGCTGCTCAAGGTCAGAGGAGAAGCTCAAAAACTGAAGGTGAGAGAAAAATCACGGCCTTGGGCAACTCGGTTTTGGTTGGTCCTCCTTGAGCAGGAGGCTGGGGCCGAGTGGCCCAACCTCAACTACTCTGGGATTTTCTGAAACCACCTGAATGTCTGTTCTCCTCTTTGTCCAGAACATCTCTGCTCTGTTTAAAGCAAATTTAAAATATATGTATATATATATTTATATATCTCCTCATTCTTCCTGTAGAAAGAGGTTGGTCATTCAAAATTCAATAATTATTCGGGCAAACTGGACCAGGGTGGTGCATTAAAAATGTGATAAAACTTGAAACTAAGCCCGTTATTTGTCAGGAAATGTGCTTTTCCTGGGGTGCCTGACCCCAATTTCTCAACCAAAAATAGATTTGTGGCCTTTAAATCTGTGCAGGAATGTGGGAGAAGGGAGGAATTGACTTTCTCCTTGTAGAACTCTATTAGTATTTGTAAATATAATATGTGTATATGTTCCACGTATATAATATATGTGAGACATGTGGAAAAAGCCCTTTGTAGGATGAGAATGTGGATAAGTGGTGGGAAGGAAACTGGACAGGAAGGAAACTGGAAGGAAAACTTTTCTCCTGGGAAGAAAAGGAGCAGGAGGTTGGAGCTGTTCTACACCTTGGGCCAGGTGGGCTTGGAGTTTAAGCTTGGCTTTGTGCCTTAAAATACAAGTATTCCACAGTTTGGGGAGTATAAAACAGCACATCAGTGATTTAATTGGGGTCACAGGATCTACCAAATTTTCCTACTCGAGGCAGAACAGGGCAGGGAGAGGCTCCTGTGCCCGTCCCCTTTTGTGGCATCAAGGTGTGACCTCGAGTGGGAAACCAAACCCAACCTCCCAGAAGAGTCACTTAGTGCATGGAATTGAGTCTTGTGACACCCAAAAATTTGTGGGTTGTCTCCAGGGACCAGCACAGCAAGACTTTCTGGCTGAGTGGAGCTTGTCCTGTGGCGTTCCAGGAGGATGGGAGGCTCTTCAATGGGTATTTGAGAAGCTGAAGTTACAAATAACGAGGGGAAAAAATACCTCAGAAAAGCAAGTTTTCTGGAAAAGAAAGAAGAATCCTAATTTCAGTGTGCTGACTGTGCTTTAAATACGTTTATTAATTAATTTAAAACTGCCTCTGGCATTTCCTAACAGGCTTCTAATTCCAAATACACAGTATCTCCATCCCAGAAATGGCCACATGATCACAGGAACACCTTCCTGAGGGATGTCCTGAGGAGGATTCATCCAGCAGGATGAGGCCGTTGGAAACACCATGAAATAAGTCCTTTTTTTCCCCTCCTCCTCTTTTTTTAAGCCATTGTTTGGAGCCAAGAATTCCACATTGTTTGTTTGCAAAGGCTTGGTGCTGGTTCCCATTCTGCAAACAGCTCCTTTGTTGGTGGCTCACTGGGAAGTCCATCCCTGTCCCCTCAGGATCTCTCTTGATTTCCACGACTTTTGTGATCTATAAAACGGCACATGGGAAAAATATCCACAGAAAGTTTCTCTCTGAAAGGCTGAGCCCTCTTTTGTGAGGGTTTCCCCGGGGAATCATCTGTGGATCGAGTGGTGAGAGTGGGTTTTGTTCCAGCCATTCATCCTCCATTTGATCTTGGGCTCTTTCTCAGTGGTGCTGGGCTTTGAACAGACATTGCAACCAGCCATGAAATGAAAGCCCTCCCTGTCACACTCCCCCCAGGACGTTTCTTCACTCGTGTGCTTTTGGCTCTGGGGTGTTTTGGGGGATATTGTGTTTGCAGAAACGCCGCTGGTGTTGTTTTAGGAGGGCACAGGCTGAACATGGGCTGGTTGCCTTGCCCTGCTCGTGTGTCACACAACCCTCAGGGTTCTGAGATTGTGTTTCAGGTGGCCCCAAATGAACTAGAACCTAATCAGGACCCAATCACTACATTTCCTGTCCTATTTTTTTTTTTCTTTCCCTGAGAGGACTTGGCACTGAATTGAGAAGTTTTATCTCCTCAAACATAAGCTCAGGTGGCCAAGAAGGCCAGGGGTACCCTAGGTGATATCAAAAATGTGGCCACAGCCCCAGGGCAGTGACTGTCACCCTGTGCTGGCACTGCTGAGGCACCTCCAGCCCTGGGGGCAGCTCTGGGACCCTCAGACAGGAGAGACATGGAGGGGCTGGAGCGTGTGCAGGGAAGGGAAGGGAGCTGGGAAGGGGCTGGAGCAGCAGGAGCAGCTGAGGGAGCTGGGGGGGCTCAGCCTGGAGAAAAGGAGGCTCAGGGGGGACCTTCTGGCTCTGCAACCCCCTGACAGGAGGGGGGAGCCGGGCTCTACTCCCCAAAAAAAGGTGACAGGACGAGGGGAAACAGCCTCAAGTTGCACCAGAGGATGTTTAGGTTGGATATAAGGGAAAATGTCTGCATGGAAAGGGTTGTCCAGCCCTGGCACAGCTGCCCAGGGCAGTGGTGGATCCCCATCCCGGGGGGGATTTAAAATCCCTGTGGATGTGGCACTTGGGGACATGGTCAGTGGTGGCCTTGGCAGTGCTGGGGGCTGGTTGGACTGGATGATCTTTTCCAACCATAATGAATTTATGATTCCATGATGAGCAGAGGAGCCCCCCCTGCCATGGATTTCTGCAGGAGGCAACACTGTGTTGTTTTCAAGAGGCTCTGGGTCACCATTAATCATCTCTTTATGTATATATTTATAAAATAACTTAATTTAAAATACTTGGGATGTGTCTTTTAAAAGGCATCTCCTTAATTTATATGATATTTAAACCATAACATTTTTAAACCAAACTTTTTTTTTTTTTTTTGCATTTTCTTACTCTTTTTTAAAAACTATGTAGCCTCACTCTGGCAATTCTCTTTCCTTTTAATTTCTTACCTGGCTTTCCTTTTACTTGCAAGGGAAATCTCGATGCTTTAGGATTTTTTTTTGTTATACATCTTTAATGTTTTCACATCTCGTACTGCACATTTTCCCTCACTGGGGAGTGAGCAGGGTGGTGGTGACCTGATCTCAATCCTTTAAATACGTGGGACTGCTGGGTCTCGGAAACCACGGACCAGTTTGGCTGTTCCATCCCATAAAGGATCCAGTGGGAATTAAAAGGGCAGAGATGGGTTTTACATTAGGATGGTTTGACTTGGAAAACACGGCTCAAGGTGCAAAGGATCCCAAAGTCTCAGGGCTGGTGGCAACCTCGAAAAATCACCTAATCCACCCAATCCAATCCAAGTTGTTCTTGTTTCCCAGAGAAGCTGTGGCTGCCCCTGGATCCCTGGAAGTGTCCCAGGCCAGGTTGGAGCAACCTGGGCCAGTGGAAGGTGTCTGTGCCCATGGCAGGGGGTGGAATGAGATGGGCTTTAAGGTCTCTCCCAACCTAAACCATTCTGGGATTCAGCTGTGTCATTCTTGATGGATTTTTATCCCACCTCTCCAATGTTGGCCTTCCCCCAGGTACTGCTCTCCATCCTTCTCTGGGAAACTCTGATCACGTGGATGAAAAGTCTTTTTTTTGGTCTACTGCTTTTTGACTTGTCAGGCATAAAAAAGGGATTATTCCTTCTTGGTTTCGTAGAATCACAGGATTGTTTAGGGTGGAAAAGCCCTCTGAGATCGAGTCCAACCATCCTCCAGCACTGCCAAGGCCACCACTGACCCCTGTCCCCAAGAGCCACATCCACAGGGATTTTAAATCCCTGCAGGGATGGGGACTCCCCCCCTGCCCTGGGCAGCTGTACCAGGGCTGGACAGCCCTTTCCAGGAAGAAATTTTCCCCAATATCCAACTTAAACCTCTTCTGGTGCAACTTGAGGCTGTTTCCCCTTGTCTTGTCGCATTTTTTTGGGAGCAGAACCCGACCCCCCCCCAGCTCTCCCCTCCTGTCAGGGAGTTGCAGAGTCACAGGTTCCCCCACAGCCTTCTCCAGGTTGTGGGAATGTTCTTCTCTAGCCTTGTCCTCTGAAAGCCAGGCAGCCCCAAATCCATCCCAGGGGGTTGTGCTTTCCAGCCATCTCATTTTCACTTTCCTTCTTTGAATTCCTTGCTGTTGATGGGGATTGGGGATTTTTTTTGGTCAGCAGGGAAATGGTTCAGGAATGTTTTTAGTGGAGGGGGACAAAGATGATGAAGGGATGGAGCATCTCTGGGAGCAGGAAAGGCTGAGGGAGCTGGGGCTTTTCAGCCTCCAGAGGAGACACTGAAGGGACCTCATCCATGTCTGGCAATGCCTGCAGGGAGGGGGCAGAGGATAGACCAGGCTCTGCTCATGGTGCCCAGCAATGGCACAGGAGGAATGGGCAGGAACTGATGCCCAGGAAGTTCCACCTGGACGTGAGGAAGAACTTTAACTGGTAGAGCACTGAACAGAGACCAGAGAGGGTGTGGAGTCTCCTCACTGGAGATATTCCAGACCCATCTGGGCACAATCCTGTGCCATGTGCTCTGGGATGGCCCTGCTGGGCCAGCTGACCTGCCATGGTCCCTCTCAGCCTGACCCATTCTGGAATTCTTTGAAGTTCTGAGTTGTGGGAGGGAGAAAATGAGAAGGGAGCAATTTTTATTGGTTGGTGCATCCAGATGAAGGCAGATCTGATTAAAATGAGGAGCTGGCTTGGAGCTCAGGGAATCTCACCTTCACCTGTGCAAAACCAAGCAGGGATCTCACTGCCCCAGGGTGTGGAGATGCCTTCAGAGCCCAGCACTGGATTCCCATAGGGATTGGGTGGGGGGAGAACGGCTGAGGTGGTGGATAACAAACCCAGACTGGGAAGTTCATGGGTTGCCAATTGGAAGGATCACTCTGTAGTTGCTCCCTCTTCCTTTGGGAGGTGGAAGTCAGTGGGATGTGGGTGTAGGACAGGGATGGAGTTGGCACATCCCTGTGGGGTCACGCCGGTGCTCTTGGGTCCATTCCCAGGATTCCTCTCCAGCGCCCTTTACTCCTCTTGCTCCTCACTTTGACACCCTCTAAATGATCTCAGAATGTTGTTAAACCCCCCAACCCCTTCTCTGTGCCACGTGTTCCATGAGTAGATTGATGAAGTAACAACTGGAGCATCCCATAAGCCCCTCACATGATCCCGGCGTCTCGTCCTTCCCGGGTTCCCACCTGTTGTCTGTCCCCCCTCGCTGGGAGTCTGCCTTGGATTATCAAATCTCCTCGTCTGAAAAGCCTCCACTTGGCTACAGAGAGTCTGTATAAATAATCATATCTTTCTTTTTCTTTTTTTTTTTCATTGAGACTTTAAGAACAAACCAAAACACGACTCGCTGCCCCCTGAAAAAACTCAGAGTGTGCAAGGACAGACGGTCTCCTGACTTTTTTTTTTTCCTGGAGCTGGGATTGATATGTAATTTTAATAGAACACTAGTACAGCCTTGGCATTATTTTAGGAGCAGTTTTAAATTACCCTACATGGATTCCTTTTTCCTGGTGGGATTTTTCAGGATATAAGCAAATAAAGTAATCTTTGGAAGAGATGCTGCGCTCCCGCTCGTAAAAAATCTCGGTACATCATGAAGGAAATGAGCAGTTTTGGCAGAGGGCAAAGAGCCAGGAGAGCAGAAGCTACTGCAGGAGGGGGAGAGATGTGAGGCAGATGCTGTGTGTGGGGAAATCATGGGATGATTCCTCTTTCTTGCATCATGGGAGGCTTAAAAACCGGCGTGGCCGGTGTTAAAATAAGAGGAAACTTGTGAGGTTCGATGGCTCTGCTCGTTGAGGCAACACAGTGGGAGATGACCTGGTGGAGGCTGGATCAGTGTGGGAGATCCAGCAGGGAAGAAAATGGATCCTGGATAAAATTTATGAATGTTAATAGAAAGCTCCCCTCCTGTCTGAACTGTGTTTGCCTTGTGGTGCACTCGAAAAGGAAGGAGATCGTGGAATCACCAAGGTTGGAAAGACCTTTGAGGTCATCAAGTCCAACCATCAACCCGACACCACCACCGTGTCCACCACTGAGTCATGTCCCCAAGGGCCACATCCATGTGTTTTTTGGACATTTCCAGGGATGGGGACTCCACCCCTGCCCTAGGCAGCTGCGCCAGGGCTGGACAACCCTTTCCAGGAAGGAATTTTCCACACTATTCCTGATAATATTCCTTTGCTCTGCCGTTGCTGCTGCTCCTGCACCATCCACGTTCTGGTGGATCATTGGAGATCACTGCATGACATTCCTTCACTGGGGTTAAATTCCTTAAAAAGTCAGCTTGTTTCCATCATTGTTGAAAAGGAAACAAAGGTCTCAGGTTGGTTTTTGTGATCTCACGCTCCCGAATATCCTCAGGGAGCTCCATGTCCCAGTTGGTGCTCTTGTCCAAACTCTGACGAAGGTTCTGCTTCTGGAATGAGCAGAACTCCTGAAAACACGCAGGAATGAGCTCTGACAGAAATCCAGGAGCAACTCCCACCCTATGGTGAGCCTGTGGAAAACCAGGAACCTCCGAGAGACAGAGGCGAGCCTGGAAACGAATATTTACAACTTCAGTGACTGTGAGAGGAATAATCTATGGGAAAAAAAAGTAGTTTTATGGCTTGATAGTCTTAGACTGATGTGAGGCACCTGAATCCTGAGCAGTCCTGCTGGATTTACCTTGGGAATTGGCTGCTTTTACTGGAGACCTGGAGCTGGGCATGTTTGCTTGGAAGCTGGTGTAGTTTTTTTAGCAGATGGTGTCTCTGTTTACAAACCTGCTCTTGTCTGGACTTGGATGAGTGTTCAGGAGAATTCCCAAAGTAGTTTTCCTACTTGTTGGCCAAATAATGGGTGAACTGCTAATTTTCCATCCTGATGAGTCCAAAAATCCACTTTGTTCTCTCGTGGGTCTTCACTGAGTCACCTCATGCCCGGGGCTGGGAAGGGCTGGACTGGTGGACTCTTCCTAGTCCAGGGAACTACAGGTTTGCCAAGTGGGAATTTTTTCAACTATGAGTCCCAGCTTGACGGGATAATACAGAAAGAGGGTTTAGAGAAGGAAATACAGCCCTTTTTTATCCCAGGTATATAAAAATACCTTTTTCTACCAGGCAGGAGAAGGGAACCAGTGGAAGATGCATCTGAAGATCTAAAAGGAAGTTTTCTAGGTGTTTACATAAATATAAACAATTATTTATAGGTAAAGCCCATGTTGAAAAGTTCTTTCTCACTGTGATACCAAGGAATTAAAACCTAACTGTAATTTATTTGGTGTTGGGAAGGGCATTTAATTCCTCCACTGGCTTTTAAGATGAGAATCCATGTGAGCATCTGGTAGAAAGTTGGATCCATGAAAACTGCAGGATTTTGTGGCTTCCATGCCACAGTTTTAACTCCTGTTGCTTTTTACTCCTCTCCAGTGGCAGGGAGGGAAATCCTTGTATTTACTGCGTGGCTCTTGGCATCCCGTGTGAAATGAGCCACTAAACAGCTTTTTTCCATGGAATGGGAGGTTGGGTGAGGAGCGATGGTGTTTATGTGCAGTTTGGTTTTATGGGAAAACCGTTGACCTGATTTATTGCTGGGCTTTGTCTTTTCTCCCCAATATTCCTGCAGAACCAAGTGACGGACACCAACCGGAAGCTGCAGAACGAAGGGAAAGAAGTAAGTGATCCATTCATGGAATCATGGAATGGTTGGGGTTGGAAGGGACCACAAAGACCATCTCCACTATCCCAGGTTGCTCCAAGCCCACTCCAACCTGGCCTTGAATCCTTGTTTCACCCAGGTTTTTCTGTTGGAGGCTGAGCCTTTAAAAATCCCTGTTAGTTCGGGAAGGATCCCCTTGGGAACGAGCAGCCACATCTTGGCTTTGAGAACCCAAAAAGAGCCACTTGGAGAAGGGAGTAGGGAAGAGATGACTAAAATGGCAAGGGGGAAACAATTTTATTGGAATTCCCAGGACGTGCTCCCAGGCTGGTGTGCCGATGGCTTTGCTTTTGCTGCTTCCTGAGTTGAAATTCAGGGAACGTTTCTGCTGGAAGAACCCGGAGCTGCCTGTGCTCCCTCTTCCAGCAGCTCCCTGGGCTCCCTGGTTATCAGAGCAGGCTTTGTGGTCACCCCACAGTTTGGGTGGTCATGACAAGTGTTTATGGTGTTCAATGGGATTTTTTTCCCCCTTCCCAAAGCTGATAATTGCCATGGAAGAGCTGAAGCAGTGCCGGTTGCAGCAGAGGAACATTTCGGCGACGGTCGATAAACTCACGCTGTGTCTTCCCGGTGAGGAATCTCCAGTTGCTCCTGCCTTGTGTTTGTTTGAATTCCCAAGCTCTTTGCTTTGTGCTCAAGGCTTCTGTTGTCTTCCTTCTCTTTCCAGTGCTGGAGATGTACAGCAAACTGCGGGAGCAGATGAAATCCAAGAGGTAAATTTTGTGTCGGTTTCTGGGTGTTTTATTATTATCCAAACAGTTGTTTTGGGGCTGAGTAAATTCAAGAGGTTCCCAGAGCTTCCAAAATCAGCCTTTCCAGGTTGACTCCTCTGATTTTTTGGCTGGTTCTCCTCACAGTCTTGCTCACCCTCCGGGAATTGGGATGGCAGCAGGCTCGGATTTTGTTTCGTGTTAGGTTTTGGAATGAAGTGGATATTCCTTGTTTTTTTGTGGAAGCTCCCTGGCGTTGTGCATGCAATCAATGCATGTTATCAACTAAATTTTATTCTGTGAATGCCATGATGCATAATCTAATATATGACAATTCTAATAATAACCTGAGAGATTCCAATGAACGTGGGTGGAAGCCAAACACCTGGAAGCATCAGGACGGTGGAAGTTGGGGAGATATCTTATTTTGCAGTAGAAATAACTCTTCAGGAGAGTGAACTGAGCTCCAGGGGCTTGGTGTCTCTGAAACCATGAGCTGTAAATCCAGGATTTTCCCCACCCTGCATCTGTTGCATGAAGGATTAAACCACGGCCTGGGATATTTGCTGGAATCCTGGGGGATGGTTTGTTTAAGCGGCACGGAGCGACTCGGGAGCCCTGGGGGTGGCAAATTGGGCAAAGAGCAGCTGCTGGAAGGAGGGAGGCTGGAAACGTGGCTCCAGCTGGATGCCAGGCAGGGAGAGCAGTGGGATCCCTGGCTGGTGCCTGCCATCCATCATGGGAACAGCACAGAAGGAGCCAGATGTTTGGAAGAAGGCGATAACTAATGGGATGAGGGGGTTGTTTTTACACCTCCCCTCCCGCCTCTGCTCCCCCCCGGGGTCCTTGGGCAAACAGATCAGCGGAACTCATGGAAGTTGGGCTGGTTGGAGGAGCTTTAGGAGCTCCCAGAGCTGTTCCCCAAGCTCCTCTCTGTGCCCCAGGATGGCTCAGGGCAGAGCAGGGCAGGGGGGAGTTTGGCCAAGTGTTTTTAGTGTGTTTATAGGAACAGAGAGGGGCTTCTCCGCTGACAGACGTGGGGTGGGAGCTGGAGCTGAGCACAGCCCTGGGAACTCCTGCAGGGAATCCACATGCTGCCCCATTCCCTGCTCTGGAGAGCGTTTCCAAGATCTGCTTCTAAGAATTCTTTCTTTTTTTTTTTTTTTTTTTTTTTGGTGTTGGTTCATTTTGAAACAAATAGAAGCTGAAAACCACATTTAAGGAATATCTGAACCCTGGGCTGGTTTTTTCTTCCCCCTTCCTTCTTTGTCTGGATTTGGTGGCTTCATCCACCAAATGCAGCACGGCATGTGAAGTATTTTTATTTCTGCACCCAGTGTCACTTATAAATCACTTCAGGATGGGCACCAAGGGGTTGGGTTTTGGGTGCACAGTCTTGGAGGACTCATAGGGTTTGTATTTGGGGTTAATAAACCCTCCCAAGTTTCATTCTCCCAGGGCAAACAGAATGAGTTGGGTGATGTTTTTAACCCAAAACCTGTGGCCACGAGCTGGAGGTGGAGAATGAAGAATGATCTGGTCCCAGAGGAGTGACAGGAACCAGCAGAAGAAATGGAGGGAAAGGTTTTCTTCCCCCATTGTCCAGAATTTAAGGAAGGGACAGAAAGAGCTTTTCTCCCACGGCTGAGACACGTGTGGAAAAGGATGGGAAAACCCAAAATCTCTGTCTGCAGAGATTTCCCTCCTGGCTCTGCAGGGCTTTGGAGGGATCAAGTCTGTTTTATTTCCTCCTGGGTCACTTCTCGTGTTCATGTGGTCTCCAACAGTAAGAAATAGAATCATAAAATCCCAGAATGGTTTGGGTTGGAAAAAAGATAATATAATTAATGATAATCCAACCCCCTGCCATGGGCAGGGACATGTTCCATTATCCCAGGTTGCTCCAAGCTCCATCCAACCTGGCCTTGGACACTTCCAGGGATGCAGGGGAAGCCACAGCTTCTCTGCCCAACCCTTGGCCTCTCAACCAAGGATTTCTACCCAGTATCCTGTTTAAATCTCCATTTTTCTGTTGGGAAACCATTCCCCCTTCTCCTGTCTCTACAGTTCCTGGTGCAGATTCCCTCTCTGGCTTCCTTGTGGGCTTGAGATGCTTCATGAGAACGTTCATGGATTCCATGGGAGCTCTTCATCCTGCTTGGAGCTGAGAAGCCCCTGTAGAGCTGTTCCCTCCATCAGAGCCTGGGTCTTTCCAGGAAAAAAAAACAAACCAGGATTTTGATAAATCAAAATCCTGCTCCTCCCACTCAGGGAGTGCTCCTGGGATTCAGAGCTGGGAAAGAAATGTCCCCCTCTGGGAGGCTGCTCAGAGGTGTCAGGGGATGTGACCCGGGCCCAAACAACACCATAAAATATATAAAACCCACCTCAACGTGTGTTTATTCCTCTGCATGAATTCCTGGCTTTCCCTGCACTCCCAAATTTCTCTCCAGAGAGTTTTGATTTTTAGTTCAAGTGGTTTTTCACTCCTTTCCCAGTGTAAACACCAGTTGGGTTATGGGGTTAATCTGTTTGACTTCTGCTTTTGGGAGCAGGACGGGCCACTCTGGTTGGAATAACTCCCCTGTGGAGCTGCCTGGGGTTCAGGCAGGAATTATTTTGGGTGGGAATTTGAGTGGCAGGTTGTTTTCACTGGTGCCAGTCTGTTTCTTCTGGCTGAACACTGTTTCTCCCCCCAAAATTCAAGGAGTGAGTGGTGGGTTCTGGTGAACAGGGTTCACTCTGGGTGTAATCAGCTAAAATTGCCTTAATTCACCCTTGAGGTGGCTGACCTGGGGTTGGTCTTAAATATATTTTATGTATTTTATTTATTTATTTTCCACTGTTGATGCTTCCTAAATGGTTCTCTGGTCGTTCTGTGTTGCCTTTGATCAGATTTTTGGTCAGAACAGGAGGAAGATCTTGAATCTTATATCTCCGTTCAGGGCGGTTCCATATCCCAGTAAAAAGGAAAATCCTGTGGATTCCCACTTTCCAAAGTGGAAAAGATGGGTGGGAATTTGAGAAAAATTAACTTCTCAGGCAAATTTTCCATTTAGCATCACATGTCAGGCTCTGAAATTTGCTTTTCTACAGAAAGGGAGGGTAAAATTTAAGGCCGTTGGGCACGACCGAAATACAAAGGAATTCAGGGAAAGAAACGTTGGGAATCTCACATTCTTTAAATTTATGAGTTACACTCATTTTAAAGAAGGGAAATGAGTTATTTTGAACATTGTGAAGGTCACACACCCAGTGGTACAACAGCAATTCCTGGAGAGGCAGGAGCTTGGTGGAAAATATACCTGTTGAACACCTGATGTGGGATTTGGATCCATATTTGCCCCCCCTTCTCTATCTAAATAAAAAATACCTCGGGTGGAAATACTTTTAATGGTGTTTAGGAGGATTAGAATGGTTGGGAGGAAGGTGGGATCAGACTCCTGGTATCCAGAGGGAAAGAGCTGAGCTCTCATGTCCAGGGTCTTCCCAGCCCCACGACAAGTGTCTGTGTTGGTCCAGATCTGTTGGATATGGATGTGTTGGACACTGGGTTATCGGTCTATAGGATTTTATGGGATATTCCCATCTCCATGATTTTGTCACCTCGCTGTCAGGGGTTGCCAATCTGGGCTAGTGGGAGATGTCTCTGCCCATGGCAGAGGTTGGAGCTGGATCATCTTTAAGGTCCCTTCCAACCCAAACCATGCCCTGATTCTGTGGTTCCAAAAATTCTGAGTTATATTGACTTATTTAAGTTAATGCACCTTTTCTGGGGGGAAAATAGGATGGAAGTGGCTCCCCATGCCCCTTCCTTGTTCTCCTCAGGCACTACCCTGCCCTGAAGACCCTGGAGCACCTGGAATGTGTCCCAGCCCATGGCAGGGGTTGGAACTGGATCATCTTTAAGATCCATTCCAACCCAAACCATGCCACGATTCTGTGGTTCCAGAGCTGGAATTCTTAGTTTTATTGATAATTTCCAGTTAATTCACCCTTTTTTGGAGGAAAATAGGATGGAAGTGGCTCCACACATCCCTTCCTTGCTCACTCCAGGCACTGCCCTGCCCTGAAAACCCTGGAGCACCTGGAAGATATCCCTGCAGGGGGTGGAACTGGGTGGTCTTTAAGATCCATTCCAACCCAAACCATGCCACGATTCTGTGGTTCCAGAGCTGGAATTCTTAGTTTTATTGACTGATTTAAGTTAATGCACCTTTTTTGAGGGAAAGTGGGATGGAAGTGGCTCCACACATCCCTTCCTTGCTCTCCCCAGGCACTATCCTACCCTGGAGCACCTGGAAGATGTCCCTGCCCAGGGCAGGAGATGGAACTGGGTGGTCTTTAAGATCCATTCCAACCCAAACCATGCCACGATTCTGTGGTTCCAGAGCTGGAATTCTTAGTTTTATTGATAATTTCCAGTTAATGCACCTTCTTTGGGGGAAAGTGGGGTGGAAGTGGCCCCACACATCCCTTCCTTGCTCTCCCCAGGCACTACCCTGCCCTGAAGACCCTGGAACACCTGGAGCACACGTACCTGCCCCAGGTGAGCCACTACCGCTTCTGCAAGATCATGGTGGATAACATCCCAAAGCTGCGGGAGGAGATCAAGGAGGTGTCCATGTCGGACCTCAAGGATTTCCTGGAGAGCATCCGGAAGCATTCGGACAAGATTGGAGAGACGGCCATGAAACAGGTAGGGCTGGTTTGTGTGCACACACTCCGTGGGGCTTTTTGGGAGGGGGATGGTGGTTCAGTCATCTCAGAGTTCTGCTTTTCCACTCCCAAGGCAGTAAATTGAATTTTGGAGTCATTTTGCCGTGGTTCTTCCTTCTGTGGTTGCTCCTGGATTTTTTTATCCTGATTTTTTTGTGCTGTTGCAAAGTGATGATCCGGTTTTCTCGTTGTCTTCTCCCACCTGGATTTTGCTGTAGGTTCTTAGTAACCTGGAATCTGGGAGGGGCAGTTGGTGTTTGAAACTCATATTTTCCACTTAGCATTTGTTCTGCTGTGCCTGGTTGGAACTGGAAGAGCTGGAGACACCAGTGCTGATTTCCCAGTTTGGGTTAAAGCAGTAGGAATTCAAGCACTGAATTTAATTTATTTTGCATCTTAAACTGATTTTTAAACGCTGGGTAAACTTGGATTGGGGCTGGATTGCCTTTGCCCAGCACTTGGTGCCCGTAAAAGATGAACCTGATGAATTGAACATCCCCGTGTGGGTGTTAAATCAGAATTGCCTCTTCCCACTCCTATTTAATATTCTAGTTTTGAGTTTCAGCACAGTTTATCTTGTCACAGCGAGGGAGCAAAGCTCCCAGTGGCTCTTAAAAAGAACTTTGCTACTTTGATGAAATTCAAATCCGCTGGCAGTGAAATGTTACCTCGTATGAGCAGTAAAACACTTCCTCTGATAGTGATGGATGGCTGGGATGTGTTGATTTATGGGAAGGACTCTTGCCATAATTTTTCACGAGATGATAAGGTGGTGCTGTTTATGGTTAGAGGTTCAATTTTCTGTCTTATAAACCCCATCCTGGAGGATTTCTATTAATTGATTTAATTTCCCGTTTTCCCCATGCCTTGTTGTCTTCTCGGCTGCTTTCTGGTATTTTGGGAAAGCAAACCAAGCCTTATATTGTGTCATAGAGGTGTGGGGAGATGCCACCTGGCATCTGAGACTTTCAGCAAACCTTTTTATTCAAACCAAACCCGTCTTTCTGAACGTGGAGAAAAACACACCATGACCTGGACGTGGTTTGGTGGAGCCACAAGTGTTCCACAAGTGGCTGGGGGGCTCCAGGTGTTGGATTTACCCAGAACTGTTTATAAAACTGCTCTGTTTTTGTTCATTTTGTGGCAGGCAGAGCGTTTTTGGAAGGTTCTTGGTTCGGTGATCTCGGTTGGGTTTGATGATCTCGGTTGGGTTTGATGATCTTGGTTGGGTTTGATGATCTTGGTTGGGCTTGATGATCTTGGAGGTCTTTCCCAACATAAATGATTCTGTGATTGCTGGCTGGGAAGGAATAGGAGATTCATTTGTTTGGTGATCAGTCAACACAGCAAATATACTCTTTAAATAAATAAATACATTTAAGTTCTCTTAAGGATATTTAGCAATTTTAGACACATGTAAGGGTGCAGATGTTGTGTTGTCTTCTAGTTTCCCATTTCATGCTCGTGGTTCTGGGAGAGACATTTCAACCTCCTGGCCCCTGGTGGCTTTGATGGGTGAGATCTTCAAGTCCACCCACGTTTCTGTGGCTGTTCAGGTGACCAATTTAAAAAAAAAAATTCCATAATTCCCAATTCCTTTTTTTTTGGTTTCTTCTGCCCAGAGTTGCTTCTGTAGCTTTGTGTTTCCATCTCTTCCGCATCCATGATCCGCTTCTTCTCGTTCTTCCCGCCCCTCCTGCTCCAGGGGAGAGCTCACACTCTGCCTGGAGCTCTGTTAATTCTCCTTTTGGGCTGTCCTGGTGTTTTCCTCACCAGTTCTGACCCTTCCTCCTCCTCCTCACAACATTTGCCTCCTGCAAACCAGGAGAGGCACTGGGGGGTTGGTGGGAAGTGGCTGCTCCTGCTCTGCCCAGATACAGGAACTGGGAGCCGGGAGTGAAACCAGCTGGAAATAAAGGGGAGGGAAAGTTGGTTCTTCATCTTGTGGGTGATAGACCCGTGGGACAACTTGTGCACGGTTTTCAAGGAATCATGGAATGGTTTGGGTTGGAAGGGAACTTAAAGCCCATCCAGTGCCACCCCCTGCCACTGGCAGGGACATCTTCCACTATCCCAGGTTGCTCCAACCTGGCCTTGGACACTTCCAGGGATCCAGGGGCAGCCACAACTTCTCTGGGCAACCTTTGCCAGGGCCTCCCCACCCTCCCAACCAGGAATTCCTTCCCAATATCCCATCTAACCCTGCCCTCTGTCTGAAGCCATTCCCCCTTGTCCTGTCCCTCCATCCCTTGTCCCAAGTCCCTCTCCAGCCCTTTGTCTTTAATTTGCCTACAGACGACACAGGGAATTTTACATCTTCAGTCTCCCCCAAATCCCTCTTTTCTGTTCGTTTATGAGAGGGATTTGCAGCCTTGACAAGGGGTTTCCTTCACCCCTTGTGGGAGCAGAGTTGTCTCCCAACTTGGACTCCGTGGCTGGATTGTGGATGAAACTCAACTGACCACTTCCACTTCCACAAGCCGACTTGGAGCGATACTGGAATTTGAGCAGGTTTATTCCTGGACAGAAACCCCCCTGAGCTGCCCCACGGATGGAGAAGTGAGAGCTGAAGGTTTTGGAGCCTCTGGTTGCATGGGGTCACTTCCCGTGGCCGTGCCGACAGCCAGGGGCAGGGTCTCCCCTCCCAGGATCGCCGGGATCGCGTCTTGCGTCGCCGGGTCCTTTTCCTCGGTCTGCTGGTTGTGATGGATAACGGCCCTGGAACGGGAGCCGAGCTGGCAGGAGGCCTGGAGAGTCAGGGGAACTGCGATTGGCAGCTCCATCCATTCGGTTTAAATTAGCATCATATAAATTCTTTTAAAATTGTTTGATTTCACCAGCGGGAATGGAAGAGGCCTTGATACAATGGGGAGAGGAAATGGTGTTTTTGTAACATTACAAATCTGAGGCCGACGATGACAAGAGCTGAAAATTTCATTTTGTGATAATCAGAAGGATCTGTCTTGGAGCGCTCGGAGCCGTCGCTGTTTCTGGCCGGGAGTCAAGGACTGGGGGGAACTGGATGGGGGAGAGGTGGATGGGGGAGCTGGATGGGAGGGAGTGGGATGAGGGAGAGTGGGATGGGGGGGGCTGGATGGAGGGAATGGGATGAGGGGGAGTGGGATGGGGGGGGCTGGATGGAGGGAATGGGATGAGGGGGAGTGGGATGGGGGGGAACTGGATGAGGGGGAGTGGGATGGAGGGAGTTGGATAGAGGGAATAGGATGAGGGGGAACGGGATGGAGGGGAACTGGATGGAGGGAGTGGGATAGAGGGGGTGTGGGATGGGGGGAGCTGAATGGAGGGAATGGGATGAGGGGGAGTGGGATGGGGGGAGCTGAATGGAGGGAATGAGATGAGGGGGAGCGGGATGGGGGGAGTGGGATAGAGGGAATGGGATGAGGGGGGGAGCAGGATGGGAGAGAGCTAGATGGAGGGAGTGGGATAGAGGGAATGGGATGGGGGGAGCTGGATGGGGGGAGTGGGATAGAGGGAATGGGATGGGGGAGCTGGATATGGGGAGTTGGATGGGAGGTAGGTGGATTGGGGAGAGCTGGATGAGGGGGAGCTGGAGGGGGGGCAGCTGGATGTGGGGAGCTGGATGAGGGGGAGCTGGATAGGGAAAGCTGGATGGAGAGAGCTGGGTAGGGGGAGCTGGATGGGGAGAGCAGGATGAGGGGGAGCAGGATAGGAAGAGCTGGATGGAGGGAGCTGGATGGGGGGCTGCAGGAGGAAGCATGAGATGGGGACAGCTGGATGAGGGGGAGTTGAAGGGGGAAAGCTGGATGAGAGGGAGCTGAATAGGAAGAGCTGGATGGGGGGAGCTGGATGAGGGGAGCTCTCCTTGGAGAGGAAGCCCGTGGCGGGCTGAAGTCAAGTGAGACATTCCCGGGGTCAGCCGGACTGGAGGGATCTCGCAGCACGTGGAGAAACCCTAGAGCCTCACTGTACAAACGATGAGCTCCTTCCCTCCTGTTTTGTTTTTTTTTTTTTATAAATCTGAGTTTTATTACCTTTGGTTCCGGGGGAATTCGCCGCGTTCCAGATCTTGTTCTTAATTACGCGGATGAAAGTGGCCCCGCGCACTTGAACTCCTGCTGGACTTTGGCCCCGTGAACCTGTGTGTGTGTTTTGGTTTTGTTGGTTCAGTTTCAGTTGTTTTTTTTTTTTTTTTTTTTAAGGATCTGAGTCCTGGGCTTGCCAGGAACGAATTACATCTTATTAACACTTGCTGATATCCGGTCTGGGGGGTTTATTATCTCGTTTAATGACTGAAATATGCCGGGCATGTGCAGGGAGGTCACTTGGGATGGGGCTTCCAGGGCGAGCACAGTGAGTGGGCCAAGAATAACCCATCCAAAAGCCATTAGTGGATCAAGTTGTTGGGGCAGCCAAAATATCCTCTCGCAGAGATGGAGGCGAAGCAGGAGTTTCATTTTATTGGCGTCGCTCGGATGCGGCGTCGAACTCGATATTTAATAGGTGGGAATCTGGTGTGAGCTCCAAGGGGTCGATGCAGAGTTTGAACAGGTCGGAGTTTCAGCTGTGCTGGTTTGAGGGTGATATTTGCTCTTCCTGCCAACAGCTGTTGGTGTCTGTGTCGCCTCTGAGCAGTGTCACAGTGAGGTTGATGTGTCTTTTCCCTCACTGGCAGCAAATATCAACCTGGGGGGGGTGTGAGTGTGGCGCTTAAAAAGTCATGGAATGGTTTAGCTTGGAAGGGATTTTAAACATCATCTTGTTCCACCCCCCTGCCACGGGTAGGGACACCTTCCACTTGCCCAGGTTGCTCCAAGCCCCGTCCAACCTGGCCTTGGGCACTTCCAGGGATGGTGAATCCGCAATCTCTCTCCGGGCAACAAAAAATGAGGCAAAACATTGCCCAGTGCTGTTCACAACCGAAGTGCTGCTTGGATTTTGGGAGGAATCCAGTTCTGACTGTCAACTGGAGAAGATGAAGCACTTCAGAGCGTGGATTAACAGCAGCTCCATAGAAAGGCAACCATGTCTGTGAAATCAGGGATTCAGATCCGGGGTTTGGATGCCTTCCCGCGCTTTGCTCCGTCCCTGCAGGTCAGAGCTCATTGAGAGCCACTCAAGTAGATCCCAAGTGCCTCCTCCAAGTGTTTAATGTGACCTCTCGTGCCTGCAAAGAACTTGGACAAAGATTCCTAAATCCCATGTGGGTCCATGAGCTCCACTGTCCCAGTATAGAAATTTTCCCCAGTATAGAAATTTTCCCAGGATCAAAATGCAGCTGGACTTAGAAAAATCTTATGGATGAGCAAGGAAGGGAGGAGATTTATTTGTTTTTCCCCCAATTACTGGGCCTGGAGGTGACAGCTGCTAATAGGCATTCCCTGGGAATGCTGGGATGCTGGATCCAGAGCCACACTAAGGCTGTTGAGCACCCAGCTGTGTCCTGCAATATTTTAGGTATATCTTGGATTTAAATTTAATTCGGACCTTGAGTTCCCCGGATTTGTGATGATTGGTTTGAGGATGCAAGTTTATTCTGTGCTACTGGTTGTACTTCCAACTGGATCTGAATTTAATTCAATTTACTGGGAGTACAGGGAATAGCTCTGTGTCGGTGCCGAGTCCTGAGTATCTGCTGGTTTTTCTTTTTTTAAATTTTAAAGTAATTTTTAATGCGTTGGTATTGTAATAAAAACGATATGATGCCATTTTTTAAAGATTAAATGAAAATTTGCAGTTTTAAAAAAATCTGGCTCGTGTTCGAGCCGCCCTTCCTGCTTTTTTGCATGGAAAAAAACTGGGTGAACTCGGCTTTCCGGCACGTGGAGCTGTTCCTTGGCTCATTCCAAGTGTGGTTTCAAGCCCTTCCCACGGTTGGATCCCAGGATGGAGTTTTGCAACAGCAACTCTCATCCTGCCCAGCTGCTTCTCTCCCATCAAGTCCATCCTGGTGACCTCTTTTGGGATCTCTCCAAAGGGATGATGGTGGTGATGGGATTGGGTGATGGAGAGCTGGAGGTCCACGATTCCTGGCTGTGGAGAACAGGGAGTGGATGCAACGCAGCTTCAGGGTGCTGGTGTGTCCCAGGAGCACGTGAGAGATGCAGGGATGTGTTAGGGAGAATCCAGGTGGAAGGAATGAGGGATGTGGAGGAGAGCTCGGCGTGTGAAGGTTGGACATCACAACAAACACCTTGGCCATTTACTGATGGTCCCATCCAGAAACTCCAGGTGAGGCTCATTCCTGTGCCCTGCAGTGGGAACATCTCCTTCCATGGGAAGCCCCCGGGAAGGGACCACATCCCTCAGAACCTCTGCACATCCCGGGCTGTCCTGTTGGAGGTGGATTTAACGGAGCTGCGGGAACACGACGGGCTTTGAGCAGTTTGTTTGGAATGAGGGCGATAAGTAGGACGTGGCATGTGATGACTCCGGAATTATTGGGAAATCCTGCCCCCTCCATGGGCTTCATTTTAAACACAACCACATGGCCACCCCCTGCAAAGCCACATGAGCCAGTGGACACCAGGACATTTTCCAGCTTCCATCCAGATCCTGCCCGGTGGCCTTTTGATGGCCCGGAGAAGCGTCCCAAAAATGCACTTTGTGTAATGTTCTTAATTATCCTCATCCCTGGCATTTTTTGAGCTTTTCCGTAACCTCGTGCGGCGCATATGGAAATTGTTTTGGCTCTGTCGGCGTATTTGGGAGCAAATTAGATTTTACTGCCTTTCCCGGGATGCGCCGGGCAAGGAATGTCCCTGTGCCGGGTGTCGGCGCTCCGGTGGCTCTCCCTGCTCTCCCGAGGTCACGGGGAGCCCCTGGGTGAGGCTTTGTCTGCCCTGCCACGTGGGCTGGACGTCCCTGTGCCAAGTGTGGGCTTACAGGGAGCGTTGGGAAGATCCCTGCATCCGCCGGCTCCGCGGGGGCCGCGTTTTTATCGGCCTTCCCGGAGCATCCCCGGAGCCGAACTTCCCGCTGCTTTGAGCGGCGTCTCGTGTGCCGGGGGTTTTCTTTAACAAGCACAGCGAGTCAAAATAACGCTGTTTATTAAAAGCGAGGGAGTTTTATAGGCCTGGGGTGCAGGCAGGAGAGGCTTTGGAAAGGTCAGTCTGGTGGCTGGGTATGCAGGGAGTATTTACACAGCGGGGTTGGGATAATGGGATGGTGTTTTCTGCTCCTGGGCAGGTTTGGGAAGCAGAAACTTGTTTTCCAGTCGAATTCAGTAACGAGACCTTGTTAATCTTTGCTCCTGCTGTTTGTCTACTTGGGATATTAAAGGATTAGGAGAGGAAATGCATCTTCTGGGGCCGTTTGGATTAGAAGTCTCATGGCCAACGACGGGTCTGGGCTTGCAGGTTTTTGGGAAGAGGCTCCCAAACCCGCTTGGATGAAGTGGGATGTCGTGTCCCAGTGGAGAAATGATTATTATCCAGGGGTTATTGAATAGTGGGGTTGCTGTGAGACCTCTGTGAGCTCTGAGGTGCCTTGGTATAAGTACTGTCAGAAGCTTTGCAAGTGTTTACACCCATCCTCTTCCTCGCTACCGAGGAAGATGGATAAACAGAGGGAATTCTCTTGGGCGCTTACCCTCGGCATCCTTTGCTTCACCTCTTTGAGAATCTCCTTGAGAAAACCGGTGAAAAGATTTTTATTTCACACTGGATTCGAATCACAGACGGATCTGTAAGAAATCACTATTTTTTCATTAAGCATTGGCCCCAAACCCTGTTTTTTTAATGGTGTGCTGAGCAGCAGCTCGATGGAAACCGGACTAATCGCTTGACACTTGCTGTTTAATTTGGAAGCTTTTTGAGACAAAGCCTCGTGAAGTGTCTGCCTTTGTTAACTCGACCCACCCGCTCTTCCCGTTCAGTCACAGAACCAGGAAGGTTGGAAAAGGCCTCCAAGATCATCAAGGCCAAGCTTTGAAGTTCGGAAGCGTTGAGTTCTCTTGACTCGGCGGATCCTGGTGGGTTCTGGAGATGAGGTGTGAGATACCCCAACACCAGTCTGGCCAGAGACACGGAGGTGGAGCTGGGGGTCTGTCACCCAACGGTGTCTCCTGTAGGATGTTCTTCCTGCAAAGACATGAAAACTGAAGGGGGAAAAAAGGAGGAGGAGGAGGAAGAGATGTGAGTGATTTTGAGAACTGGAAACACTTTTTGAAGTGGCTCCTGAAAGGAAATGTCAGGCCAGGAGCTTGAGGTTAAATGTGATCCCTCGGCTTCCCGGCGCCGTGGGAACGGCGAGGCCGTGGCAGCCGGACAATTTGGGGTTTAGCAGCTCAGGCTGGGGGAGAAGGGGCAGCTGCCTGATGGGAAAAGCAGCTGGAGGCACCGGGATCACCGAGGACGTGTGTAGGGGTGGCTGGGAGGCCAGGACACATCTGGGGAGGTGCTGAGGGCTGTGTGCAGATCCAAGCGTGTTTCTGTTCCCCGGCGCGCCGGGGTCGAGCTCCTTGTGCTTCCTGGTGCTTTCACTGCCCTCCTTCCCACATCACATAATTGGAGTGCAGAAGTGCTTATTGTCAGAACAGAACTCTTTATTCCCAGCGTTTCCTGGCTTGCTGGGGAAGGTTTCACTGTTTATTTAAGAGGAATTCTGTGCCTTTAAAATTTATACGCCGTAGGAACTTTTATTAATAATTGGGTATTCCTCTGGATTCTTTTTATGACCTCAAAAATGAAACTGCTAAATCATGGCCCTTTTTTTATTTCAGCATATGGATGAGTAACGGCCATGGGGACTGTGGGATCCCCAGTAGCATATCCAGAGTGTTCTGTGGACATAAAATCTAAAGTTTAACTGCAGGGCACTCATGTGCTGGACCAGCTCTTTGTGTGGTTGCCTTTCAGACCTTTCTAAAGACTTGAAATCCGGAGATGTTGCTTGAAATAAATCCCTTATCTTAAAATCATGGAATGATTCGGGTTGGAAGGGACCTTAAAGGTCATCTCATTCCCACCCCCTGCCATGGGCAGGGACACCTTCCACTATCCCACGTTGCTCCAAGCCCCGTCCAACCTGGCCTTGGACACTTCCACCTGGTCTTGAACATCTTCCCAGTGTCATGACAGATGATATAATTCCCAAGGCAAAGGGAAAGCACAGTTCCAAGCTGAGGCATGAGCATTCCTCGCTCCTTTAGAGCCATCAGGAATTCCCGTTGTGCTGGTTGCATTGGAGCTGGGAAAAGAGGGGCTGTTAAACTTCTTTTATTCGCCCTGGACTGCAGAGATTCAACGCTCCGATTTTCACTGGTCTTGCTTCTGCTGGTTTTAATTCCATAGGCTGGGAAGCTGTTGAAGGGAAGGTGCTGCCTGGTGCTCCTGTGCCAGCCTTGGAAGTGAGACAGCACGGATAGACCTCAGACTAATAAACTGAATTCTGGGCCTGCTTTGGCCTGTCACGTGTGGGAAAGGATGTGGAGGAACACGGGGGTCTGGGCAGCACGGGAGAGGTGATGGAAATCAGGCTGAGCTCAAAAATCACTGGGAATTGCTCCCATTGGGATGCTGCTGCCCAGGATGATAAATTCCTCAGTTTTCATTTGGTTGTCTCAGGCTCGTTGTAATGTAGCTGCTAATAAACCTTTTAAGTGGACTGATTTTCCCCGTATTTTTCCTTTTAAAAATTCCTCGGGTGGTTTCTGTAACGGATTCTTGCACTGCACATGGTTGGATCTCTCTGTACTTCTCCAGCTGGTGAATTCTGCTCCCCTGTGACTGGTGGTGTGGATGTGGAGGAGAAGCTGAGGAGGTTTTGGGAATGTGGGAGTGTCACAGTCATGGAGTCATGGAATAGTTTGGGTTGGAAGGGACCTTAAAGCCCATCTCATTCCATGGGCAGGGACACCTCCCACTGGACCAGGTTGCTCAGGGCCATGTAAGAGTCTTCAGGTGCCTTCACCTGGAGATGCCAAACAGTTGGTGGATGTGGCAAATCCTTAGGGATGCCATGGAAAAGGTGCTGGTGCTCTGTCCAAAGTCACACTTTGGGACCCAAACTTCAACCCTTGCGTGAGCTGCACCGACCCAAACGGCCACTGCCCCTTGGGCTGGGATTTTGGCTTTCTGTCCAGGCGAGCAAGACTTTATCCTTAAAAAGAATGGCTGTGAAACCTCTTGAAGCCAGTTGCAAGAAACACCCCTTTAGGGGGACATCCTTGCCGTGGAATTCCCCGGGGGGCTTTAGGATTCCAGCCCTCCTTTTTGGCTGTGAGCGACTGGGAGGCGACGCGGAAGGGAACGGCTCCTCTCGGGGAACGGCTCGTGTCACCGGGGCAGTTCAGTCCTGGGGTTGCTAATGAGATGAAAATGGGTTAATATCAGTAGGCCTGGGGTTGGTTTTTTTTTTTTACAGTAGAGGTACAATGGTTCAGTTTTCCGGGAGGGGATGGAGCGGAGCCGGGCTGCCTGCCCTTTCCGTGACACTCCGGAACAAATTGCAACCGGGTGTCTGCAGAAATCACCGAGCGAAATCCTTCAGCAACCCAAGACTTCCCTTCCTCCTGATTTTTTTTTTTTTTTTGAAGAAACCCCAAGCTCTGCTGACAGGCTCAGGTCATTTAAGCCTCTCGACATATTCTTCTAATTCGCATCTACGGCAAATTTAGACCAGCTTTCGTTTCGGGGGAAAAAGGCACTTCAGCCACTCCAGGACAGCTCAGCTTTGTTTCCCTTCCCTGAATCTTGGTGGACTTGGGCAGGTTCCTGTGGGGACAGGGAAGGGATGTTGGATATCCCAATTTGTTTGATTTAGGAGTCTGCATCCTCTGTGAGCTGAGCGTGGTACACCCCTGAACCAGAGGGTCTGATAAAGGCGCCGGTTAAATGTTTGAAGGCTTGATTTTAGGGAGAAATCTGAATTTTTTTCTCAGGTGAGAGAGAAAAATCTGGAACACATAACTTAGAGGGTGTTTTAGCCCTGCAGGATGGATGGATTCGTTGTTTGTGCTGGCTCATGTTGAAGCAGGAAGGTGGAAATATCACCTGGAGTTGTTCTGGTCACCAGAGGTTGGATCCCCCAGACTATGGGGACAAACTGCAGAGAAGAAATAGCACCTTAAAAATAAATAAGGGGGATTCTTGGCTGTTACACTGTCACTTGTAATTGCTATTTTTTATTGTTGGGGGCTTATTTTAGAGTGGAAAACATAGTGGTTAAATAGTCTCCTTGTGTTGTAGGGAATGATGAAAAAGGCACAACAGCATCTCTGAGCTATATGGAATCATGGAATGGTTTGGATTGGAAGGGAATGTAAAGATCATTTAGTGCCAAAATGCCCCTGCTGTGGGCAGGGAGACCTTCCACTAGCCCAGGTTGCTCCAACCTGGCCTTGGACACTTCCAGGGATCCAGAGGCAGCCACAGCTTCTCTGGGCAATCTGGGGACAGGGCCTCCCCACCCTCCCAGCCAGGAATTCCTTCCCAATATCCCATCTATCCCTGCCCTCTGGCAATGTGAAGCCATTCCCTGTGTGCTGTCCCTCCCTCCCTTGTCCCCAGTCCCTCTCCAGCTCTCCTGAAGCCCCTTCAGACCCTGCAAAGGGCTCTCAGCTCTCCCTGGAGCCTTCTCTTCTCCAGGGGAACCCCCCCAGCTCTCCCAGCCTGGCTCCAGAGCAGAGGGGCTCCAGTCCCTGGGAAGTGTTTAGTGAGTCTTTACCATGTGGTGTTAGTTTGGGTCTATTTTTTATTGTAAAATTAAGAATATTTTACAAGTGGATGGCAGGTACTGAAGCAGGAGCTTGGCTGAGCACCCAGACACTGTATAGAGAGTGTGTGTGTGTGAGACTGGGAATAGTCCAAATCCCAAATTTATCCTTTTTGTGGGCTTTGAAGCCTGAAATATCAGAGGAAAGTGGCTGTTAGCTATAACTGAGCACCTGTATTTTGGGAGGCACAGCTCTGTGTGTGTCTCCTGTCATTGCACTTCCAGCTCCCTCCTGGTCACTTCCTGTCTCGAGGAAGGTGGGAAATGAGCTAAAAACTTGTGGAAGTGCCTGAGGGATGTGGATGCTTGGTGGTACCTGCTGTTCCACCTGTTCCCTTCAGCCATCAAACAGCTGGTCCTTGTCCCATGGACCTTCCTGGGGCCCTCAGCTGGAGCTGGGAGCTTGTTTTAGGGTGGAAAACATTGGAACAGGGAGAATGTTCCATGTTCCAGTGTGGCTGTTTTGCCTTGCGGGTCACTTTGGTTTCCAGCAGCCCTGATTTTTAGTAGAATCTCAGATTATAGCTCTGAATTAATTCACCTTTAAGAACCTCAGCTGCAGTTTCTCTAAATAAAGATTTATATTTTCATAACTGTGGCACAGAGGGATTCCCAGCGCTCCCCGTTCCATCTGATGGTTCCCTATGGATTTTGGCTTTGAACCTTCTCCCCCTGACTTGTAACTTCACCAGTGAGAACTTGTAGTAGAAAATTCCCAGCAACAGCAGTTCACTTTGGAAGACTGATGGATGAATTCCTTGGCTTAGCAATTACTTTTATATGGAGAAAGCCACGGAGAAGCTGTGGCTGCCCTTGGATCCCTGAAGTGTCCAAGGCCAGGTTGGATGGGGCTTGGAGCAACCTGGGATAGGGGAAGGTGTCCCTGCCCATGGCAGGGGGTGGGACTGGATGGGCTTTAGGGTTCCTTCCAACCCAAACTAGTCTGGGATTCTGTGATTCCCTGAAAAAGCTGGAGAAGAGCTGGTGTTTGAGGTCAGCTGCTGCTTCAGGCAGAGGGGACTGTGATCTCACTTCTGAGCAGGGACTTACTGATCAACCGATGGATGGTGTTGGGAAGAGACCATGGAAGGGGAGCAACCCTTTCCATGGAAAGGGAGCAGTACAGACTCCAGCTGTAATGGGGTTTTCCCCATAATCCCTGTCTGAGGGCAGGATTTGGCTTGGTTGGGTTGACCCCGACAGGAGCTGGTTGGGAACTGCTGCGTCCTTCTGTCCTTCCCTTGCTTCCAGTTCTGTTGAAATCCTCATCTTTGCTCACAACCCTTGTGTTCCCTAATCCCTTCCCACTTTTCTGGGTGAGATGAGTGGGAGTCTGGGATTCCAGATAAGGAGCTCCTGCCTCTGACAGGGCTGGGAGACGCCGCTGCCGCTTACAAGGTGCAAACAACCTCATCCCTCCCCACCTCCCAGGGGGGCCTGACGGATGCTGATGCTCCGTTTCAATCCCTGACCTCCTTTTTTTTTTCCTTCCCCAGCCCCTCTTAGCGCTGTTTGTAGTTGTGCTAAGCCGTAAAACAAGCGCCCTGGGAGTTCTCCTGGTGAGCAGACAGCAGTATAAACAAACACCCCATCCCGTTCTCCTGGCGCTCCAGCCTCGAGGAGTCTTGTTTCCAGCTCTGACCCCACAACCTTTCCTCTGGTTGGCAGCCTGCTGGCGTTGACAGTTGGGATGGTTCAGCCAGAGTTGAGGGATAATTGCTGGAGGAGCTGGGATGTGTTATTCAGCGGGACCCCCTTGAGGCAAAGCTTTGAATCTGGTGCACATTTCAAAGCCCGTGTTAAACTCGATGTGATCCTGATTAAAAGCGAGGGCTCCGGGGGGAGTTTGGCAGAGCCCCCACGATTTCATCCGCCAAGTGACAGGCAAAGAAACGTCTCTCGCTGCAGCTCAGGGCTCCGGGACTTGTCTCGGCACAACTGGGCTTGGAAAAGGGGGGAAGCCTTGCTGGGATGTTCTTCCTATATGGCGCACGCACCCCCCAGCACTTACGGGCCCTGTGTGAGCCCCTGCTCGTGTGGTATTTTTGTTGAAAGCCTTTTTATTTTCCAACCCATATGGAAATAATCCTGCCTTCCCCCCACCCCCGCGCCCCGCCGTGTCCTTCAACTTCGGGTTTCCACGGAGCAGATGGAAAAAAGCGAGGGGATAAATGGAGGCAGGTACTGTCAGAGCCTGGCTGGGGCCTGGGGAAGTGGGATGGAGGTGCCAGCCCAGGGATCTAGAGGGGTGGAAGGAGCTCTGGCACCTCTGGAAGGATTGGTTTGGTGTCTCACTGACGGCGGTTTTATTTAAAATCTGTGCATTTTGGTGGTGGGTGTTGACTCACCAGAGCTCACCTGTGCCTTGGAATCCCAGAATCCTTTAGGTCGGAAAAGCCCTCTAAGATCATCAACTCCAACCATTCCCCCAGCAGTGCCAGGGCCACCACTAACCCATGTCCCCAAGTGCCACATTCACACTTTAAAATCCCTCCAGGAATGGTGATTCCAACACTTCCTTTAGTTGCAGACTTGAGGGAAAATGTGAGTCCTGGTGTGTTCCCGCTGCCGCTGTCACACAAATCCTCTGTATCCACAGCACCTCCAGGGCAACTCTTGCTGTCCCAAGTCTTTCAAAACTCAGCAGTTAGGGAAAAAAAGCCTCTCCAGAATGGATCAGGATGGATGGGAGCAGCCTGGTACCTGTTGGAGATGGGCCTGGTGGGCTGCAGGAATTTTCTCCAAGTGTGCAGCTGGAGGGGTAGCAGAGGGCGAGGAGCCTTCCCGTGCCTTGGTTAAATTTGGGAAGGGTTTAAGAAGCAGTTATAGGGAAAAAATAAAACAGGATGCTGGGAAAATGAAGAGGAAAAGCTGGGAAATGTAACGTGTGAGAAC